AGCTGCTAAGAGGAATGAGCTGCTGGATGACCTACCGAAGTGTTTCAAGAAGCCCCGCGACGCCAACAAGACAGACGACTTCCTGGACATCAAGGCCACCTCAGACGAGATGCAGTTCGCGCCATCCCTGCGAAAAGTACTTATCACAGGGAAGGCCGCCGCCAAGGAGCGGAAGTACGATGCTCTGTCCAACGAGGAGAAGAAGATCATGGACGAGGACGAGGCGATCAAGGTCGAGTGGTCCAAGTGGACGGAGTTCGGGGCCTACAGGAAGCTACCGCCCAGAGAGCTTAGGGAGCTCCTGAGGAGAAACCCTGGCATACGTCCTGTGGGCACACTCCGGGTGCTCGCCAGAAAGGGGCTCAATCTCATGAAGGCTCGCCTCGTCGTTCAAGGATGCCAGGAGGACACATCGCAGATCCCCACAGATGCACCGACAGGATCTAGAGATGCACTTTACCTCACCCTCGCCGCTGCCTCACCATCTGGTTGGGGCCCCACGTCGCATGACGCCATGGCGGCCACATCCAGTCCGGCAATATCGAAAAGCTTCTGCGGCTTCGCATGCCAGCGAAGAACCCGCCGCCAGGGGCACTGCCCGGCGAGGTCGCGATGGCGACCGTTGCCATCTATGGCACTCGTGATGCCAGAGGGCAGTGGTGCCTCTACGCCCAGAAGGTCTTCAGGGAGCACAGTCTTCTCGAGAGCAAGCTCGAAAAAGGGGCTCTACTATTTCTACGACTCGAGGGGCCTCGCAGCGGTCATTCATTCACATGTTGAACATTTTCTGATCGCCCAGCGGAACGACCCCTCGGAGTGGCGGCGCGTCATTAGCAGCTTGCTTGGAGAAGAAGTTGCACCTCAAGAAGGTCGACGGCACCATCAAGTACTGCGGCCGCATCATCTCAAAGTCGGACGACGAGTTTCGTGTCACGCAGGCGACCGCCGCCAAGCAGGTGGACCCCGTCGAGATCACTGCCACGAAGGGCCGCGCCCTGGAGGACGAGCTGTCAGTGGAGGAGGTGTCTAGTTATCAACACCCTAGGTCAACTGCTTTGGCTCGCCGTCCAGACGCGGGTCGACATCGTCTGCCCTGTCAGCATGGCTGCCAGGCGCACCAACGTCGCCACCGTGGTGGACGCCAAGACACTCAACGAGACGGTGAATTACGTCCACGGGTCCGCCGACTTCGCCATCGTGCTGAAGCGCAATCTCATCGACCTGAAGACCTGCACCACAGTCTGCTTCAGCGACGCCGCGTTTGCCAACATCGACGGCGTCAAAAGCCAGTGGGGCATGGCCGTGGGCCTCACCCATAGACCGCGCGATGTCGTTGGGGGCCGCGGCGATCTGTGCGCGCCTGTCGCCTGGCACTCCTGTGCCGTCAAGAGGTTTGAGGTCTTCTCATCACCACTAAGGCGTCGGATGCGTAGAAATCCGGAATCACTGTTTGTCCCCGAACCGAATTGTTGTTGTTGGTTTTCCAGAAAAAGTTACGCTTCACGCCGTAGCTGGTCCGATGCCTCTCCACAGTGAACATATCGCAAGCTAGGTTCGCGCCAATGTCAGGAAACGCAATCAGAGCCTCATCGGCCACCAATGCTTGCAAACGCTTTGCCGACGTGAAATCCCGCACGCAAGGTTCTTGCGTAGCTTCGGGGAAGCGCGGCCAAACCGCGCGCCCCGAACCCCCCATGCGAGAGAGGACCGCGTCTACGATGGCATGCCCGTTTTTGGCGCGGTGGCCCACAACCAATACGTTCGCTGCGCAGCAAGAAGTCGAGCGCAGGATGGCGTCTCTTATCTTGCGCGCCATTGGCCCCGCTACCCGAGGAAACCCCATTGGCGCATGCATATGATGTGCCTCATTGGATTCGGGCGCGCGTCGCCCACGAGCGCGGGCGCGAGCTGGCAACGCCAAACACGCTACCAACACAAGTCTCGAGCCAAAACGGCCACGGGTGAGTACGGGGGGTGGCCAGGGCGAAGAGGAGCAAACGGAGCAATCCATAATCGCTGGGAGAGGAGAGGAACGAGGGGGCGGGGTGGACGGGGGAGGTCATCCTCTACGCCCCGCCCTCGGACCCTCCCCGCCCTCAGCTTGCGCCCCCGCCCCCGCCCCCTTGCGCGGGGGCAGAAGGGGGTGGGGCCTCGTTTCAGTGAGGCCGCGCCCCCCCCCCCCCCGCCTCCCCAGAAGCCTCAAACGATCTGCAGAGCGCGGGGCGCGCGCTAAGACGAACGGCCATTCTTTAAGCGATGGCGGGGGCCCTGCCGCAACTCTAAAGCTAATCGGACCAAGCGAAAACTTCGAACCGAACGCCACGCGGCAATGAAAAGTTTCAGCTTCACGCGCCCCGAAGACCAAGGCTCACGTTTCGTCACTGGGGTTGCTGTATTGTTAGTTGCGTTTGTCCTGAGAGCCGCGCCGCGCGCCCCCCCCCCCCCCCCCCCCCCCCCCCCGAGCCCCCCCCCCCCCCCCCCCCCTCCGAACGCGCGAGCACAAGGGGGGGCGGAGGGCAGAAAATATTTCAAAAAAGTCGCCGAAGACGGGGGCGCGCTCCTTACCAACCGTGTCATGAGCACCCTGACGTTTGCGACGCTCTCGAATCGCGCCCCGCCACCGATCTCGAATCTCAGACCCGAGCCCCTCTGGATCGCCCTCCCCCCTTCAGCTTCCGCATCATCCGCTTCCTCTTGGGTGCCTTTCTGCTGCCCGAACGCGTCGTCAACTGTCGATCCCTCGTCCTCTGCGTTCGCTCCCCCCCCATCCTCCTGGCCCCCCCCTCCTCCGCCGCGTCGTTCAAGCTTTGATGGGGTTCCTTCGGCTCGACGGTTTCGCCGATCTCGTCAAACAAAAAGCCCTCGCCTTCACGGCCCCCCCGCCCCCCCCCCCCCACCCCACCCCGAGCCGCTATATGGCCCCGTCGGCCTCGACGCTCTGCGCTGCCGCGCCCGCGGGCCCCGCGAAACCGGCAGACCAGAAAAACGAAGTGAACCGGCAGAGGTTTTCAATTTCGGGCATCCGCGGGGGCCTCGGCGCGGCGACGAGGCGCGCCCCTATCTCCCCGACGAAGGGGGCGGTGCTGGGGGGGGGGGCGCCGCAGGGGAGGGAGAAAAGGAAGGAGGCGTGGAAAGAAGGAGGGGGCGAAGCTAAAGGTGCAAGGGGAAGCGATGAGGAGAATAACAGGGGGTAATAAGGCCGAGGACAGCGGCGATCGAAGGCCCCCCCGCCCGCGCCACGGACGCGACCTCCAAGCAAGTTGGCGGGGCACGGATGCCGCCGCTGCCGTTCCCAAGAGACCTCTTACTCCAGGAGTCGCGCAGAGAGACTTTGGGGGAGATGGGGGGACGGAAGGCGCTCTGCTCAGGCAGGAAAGTTTGAAAGAACCCACCCCCGACCACCTCGATGGGCAATGGTTTGCAAGGCTCTCTGACCCCGCGACCCCTCGCGGGGGGCCAGGCCCCTCCTCCTCTCGCGGGACATTGGCCCCGATAGGGCACGCGGCGAATGCGACAGCATGGCGCAGCATGGCCCAGCAGGGCGCTGCACCGCTCAGCACGGCATAACATTGCCCAGCGTCGCGCAGTCAAGGATCTCAGCCGCGGTTCCGCAGCGCGGCATAGCAACGCATAGCGCCCCATCCCTTCCTCCAGCATCCCTTTCATTACTCTCATTCCCCTGCTGCTGCATGCTTTGTCAGGGCGCAGACGGCGCTCGTGCTCCGAGCGACGGCTGGCGCCGCGGGCCGCCCGCGGCCTACGTCGTCAAGTCGAGGCCCTTCTGCGCGAAAACCTTGACCACATTGTGGATGTGGCCCCGCGCGGCAACTGGGGAAAACGTTTTGGCCCGCTGCAGCTGCGTTCTCATCGCCCGCTGGAGCTCGCCCTCATCACTCTTTTTTTCAACGGGCCGATGATGGCCGCCTCGCGCTGAGTGGCGTAGCATTTTAGGACGGCCTTGTCGTGAGCATATTCTGTCGCGCGGCTGTCCGTAATGCCGGACTTGGCCTTCGCCGTTTTCGAGGCCCTCGCGGGGTCTTAGTATGTCTTGCAATCCCACCAGCCCCGTGGACGCAGGCAGTCGAAGACACGGGTCCTTTCACCGTCGGCAGCCCTCTGACATTGGGGGGGGGGCGTAGCCTCCACCCGCCCCTCCCCGAGGATTTGCGTTTGGAGGTGTGTGTGTGTGTGCGTGTGCGCGTGCGTGCGCGCGTGGGCGGTGGTGGTGGTGGGGGGGGGGGGGTCGCGAGTCGCCAGCGCGCCGAAGGTGCCCCAAGATGGCACCAGGAGGGCATCCAACGCTTGAAGTTTACACCCAAGATGGCCCAAGTTTGCCAACGACGGCCCAAGATGGCCCCCGCCGTGCTCCACGGGGCTCCCAAGGCCGCTCCGTGCCAAACCAAGGCGGAGAGAACCACCTTAGCTCAACGTGGGGGCCAGCCAATATAGCGCCCAAGGGCCCCACCCCCAAGGCATTCTAGAATCCGGGGGCGGCGCGCGAAGCGTGAACCAAAGCCCCCGCCCAAGCGCCCGAGACTCCAGGTCGCCCCAGATGGCTGCCCAGAGGCCCTCGCGAGACACCCTGGAGTGAAAGCCCCGCGCGCATCAGAATCCAAGACGGCACCACCCCAAGGAACTTGCACTCACAACACCGTTCCATAAGAAGCTCCAGTGGGAATGCGCGAAGCGTGGCGAACGGGCCTCGAAGATGTTCGGGTTGTGCTTCATGGCGGGCTTCGCGGCCGTCTTGAACAAGTGCTCTATGTCGGTCGTGTCGGCGATCTCGCCCAGGTCGCGGCGCCAGTCGCTGCCGTCGAACATGCCACCGATGACGGCTTCGAAGCACACGGGCGGGCGCGCCGTCGGCTCGATGGGGTTCCTTGAGGAACGTAATGATCTTCCGGCGGTCTCGCTCGAGCAGATCGGCGCCGCCCCTCGCGATGATAGCCTTCACCTCATCGAAGACCTCCTTCGCGCCAGAACGAATTTGCAAGGAACTCTGACTGCACAGATTCTCGAGCTTCTCGGAACAACAGGTGAGCTGGTCAAGAAGCGCGATCGTGTCAGGCGAGTCGAGGCGCTTCCCCCCCTCCGCGTTGTATTTCGCGACGTCAGCACTGATAACATTGACGGTCCTCATGCGCATGATCTGTTTGTTCCAATGCCCCCGCTTCTGGCCATGCTCGAAATTCAGAAGGTTGACGAGCTTGTCGAAGACAGGCAGTAACTGACCACAACCATCACTTGCATATCCAAACTCCAGTTGGAGCATATCTTCCGAGAGCAAGCCCATGAGCTCGATTCAGCGATCGCCAATCTCTGAAGGCATCTCGTCGTCGGCGCTCGCTTCAAGAAGAAACCCATGGGTGTTATCCAGCGTTGCCTGGCGCTTCTCCTGCGATTTGAGGTCGTCCTTGGTCTGGCAGACGAGGTGCGGCAAGAACTGCTGCAGCGTCAAGGCCCCTTGAAATTTGGGAGCGGCCTCGGCAATCTTCTCCTTCACCTTGCTGGACTCTGCAGGCAGTTTCACAGTCGAGCTCTTGGAGGCAACTTCGAAGTGCGACCTCGCAGCCACGAGGAGCTCCAAGTTGGCTTTGGGGTCCACGCCCTCATGCCACATGCTGGCCATGGCTGCCTCTGCAGCCGCGCCCAGGCTGGACGCAAAAGCCTCGAGCACCTGCGAGAGCGCACGCGCGCCCCCCCCTGGCCTCGGCCTTCAGCGACGCGATGTCGGCCAGGGCCTTGCTGGCATACTCCGCCCGCTGAGTCCAAACAACAACTTCATCAGACACCTTCGCGCAGTGCTCATCCAGCGTCGCTTTGGCCGTCGATTGAATAGCTTTCGTCTGGCGCATGTCTGGGGTCATCGGCTTGGGGAACTCCGACTCTGAAGCCAAAACCCCCCTCGTGAAGCCGATGAGCCCTTGCCAACCCGTCTTGCTTGGGCCAGCGGCTGGCATGTGGTCGTGCGCGAACGCGAACTCCCTCCCGTGCTTGCTGCGATCGCTGTCCCCCACCAGGTACAAGATGGCTCGGCGCACTTTGACCCCGGCGTTGCAGCTCTGGCGCAGCGGCTTGCTGAGACCAGCTGGCTGCTGACGGAGAAACTGCATGATCTCAACGACGATCACCGTCAAACCCACGGACGTCATCGCCGACCACTGTTTCAGCAACGGGCTCAGCACGTACGAACACAGGCAGCGCTCGAAATATTCAGCAGCCTGCGCAGGTAGAAGAAGCATGTCGCAGCCTCGGGGGCCGAACGGGTCCCACTCTTCCGCCCCCTCGCTCATCAACTGGTAAGCTGTCTTGCTCGGGGGGGTCGCCACCACGCTGGTCATCGAGGTTGCAGGGGAAGAATGAGGCGCAGACGCTGCGAGTCCCCAAGGTGCCCTTCAAGAAGGACTGCATCACGTCGGAGACGTGCCTGTCGGTAATCTCCCGAGCCAAGGCCGACGGAAACACCATGTTCGTGCTGACCAAGGTCTTCGCCCTGTCCTGGAATGCGGTCTTGTCGAGGCTGCGCAAGGAACCTCGCTGGGCGAGCTTCTGTGCCAAGTCGGCTGCGTCGAGACGCTCGCTGAGCTTCGTCGCCGCCCTCCTTTGCTGAGGGTCATCGCTGTTCGACCAGTCGCCCCGCAGCTTCTTCATCCGAGATCGGGCATGCGAGCAGGGGGCCCCATCAAGCCCAGCCCCGCACAGTGTGCAGTTAACACTGTCGATGCGCACCTGGGCCCAGTCTAGGAACGGCATCTGGTCCTTCCTGGCACCGCGCATCCTGCCAGCCCTCTGGGCGTCGGTGGTTTCGGGAGTTCCCTCCCCCACGCCCCCTTCTTTTTTTTTTTTCTCTCTCTCTCTCTCTCTCTCTCTCTCTCTCTCTCCTCTCTCTCCTCTCTCTCTCTCTCTCTCTCTCTCTTTTTTTTTTGGGGGGGGTGCGCGCCCGCCCCCCCCCCCCCCCTGGACCTGGACAGGGGGCGGCGCGAATCTTCGGAGCGTCGGAAACGGCCCCGGCGAGGATGCCAAACTCATTGGTTTTACTATGGTTTGGGCACCGTTTTGGCCTCCTGGAGGCAGGGGGGGGGGGGGGAGGGGCACTAAGCAACGCCCCCCTCTCGTTTGATCGATCTCCTCCAAGATGGCCCCAAGAAGCGCCCAGGAGGCCTCAAGAGGCCCCAAGATGGCCCTAAGATGGCCCCAATAGGCCCCCAAGAGGCCCCCAGGAAGGCCCCCCAAGAGGCCCCCAAGGGGCCCCAAGACGCCCCAGAGGCACCCAAGATGGTCCAAAAGGCCTCGGCGATAATGCCACATCATGGATTATACGAAAGTTGCAGCCGCACGTTGGCCTCTTTGGGGGGAGAGGGGGGGGGGGGGGGGGGGCGCTGATTCAGATGACTCCAAGAGCGCCTGGGGGGGGCCAAAATTACCTCCAAGATGGCTCAAGGTATCCCACAAATATGTCTCAGAATGGCTTCCTCTGCGTGCTGCCCACTTCCCTGATCGAGGCAATTCCTATGGGCATCGTTGCTGGATGGGGTGGTGGGGGCCCGCGAAGCGTCAACAATTGACCGCTTATCATCGACGTCCGCGCCCTCGTCGTCCTCGCCCGCATTGGCGCGCGGCTTCGCGGCGGGGATCCAATATTGACGCCGACCTTGGATCCAGAAAAACCATGGCAAATCAATATCCTCGACGGGCCCCCGCCGTCCATCATCATCGTCTACAACCATCGCCTTCCCCTCGCCGACGCAGTCGTTGTCGCCCGCAGCATCGGTCAGCTCGGCGACATCCTGCTGCCTCCGCTGCTGCTCCCCTGCCTGCCTCTCCGCCTCTTCGATGTCCTGGGCGCCCTGGCGAACCTCGACGTGGCCGACGCCGCCGAGCCTGAGCTTCTTGTGCTCTGGCATCTCCCCGAGCCCGTGAGAGATGAGGAAATCGAAATAATTCTCAATCTGGCCCTCTCTCCGCTGATCTCCCCACCTTCGATGGGTCGTTCGCCCCCCTCCCCCCCCCCCTGGGAGGGGCCCGAACGACTCAGCTGATATTCCCCTGTGTGCGCGGCTGCAGAAGGGGACGCGCGGTGACCGATATTGGGGGCATGCTTGGCTACGGGCCTTCGCGGGGCCGCAATCGAGCTTCCCCGGGGCAATGGGCTGGTCTCGGAGCGCGTGGGCCACTTTACAACCAGAAGCGCACTTTACAACCATATGGGTCACTTTACAACCAGCTTATAAAATCCAAGAAGGGCACTTTACAACCAGGAAGGGCACTTTACAACCAGGCAAGTAAAAACACATATTGAATGCACGCGTGCCTTTCCCTGAAATCTCCGTGGGCAAGCGCAAGGGTGGCTTTGGGCTCTTTGAGGCATGTTGGTTGTAAAGTTGCCCATCGCGCACGAAGAAGCACTGCGCACGAGTTGGCGATGCGGCGACCTGGTGCGCTATGGCATGTTGCGCGCTGGTGGGCGGATTCGAGTTTTGACCTGCTCTCTAAGCTCTGTCGGTCAGTTATGCCATTGCTTGCTCTGCTTTTTTTTTTCTGACGGGCGAAGGCTAGTCGCGCAGGACATACGAATAAACCATGATCCCGTCCAAGACTGGAGCTGCATGGCAGTGGAAGGCTGTAGTGGGAGATGTGGTGGAAGCGGGGCCTACAATGGGAACTGCATGGTGTTGGGAAGCTGCGGTGGCAACTGTGGTGGTCGCCAGCCAACGGTGGGAACTGCGGTGGTAGCTGGTCTGCAATGGGATTTGCGGTAGTAGCGGGGGGTCAGTCGGAATTGTGGAGGTAGCGGGGCTGCAGCGGTAAGTGTGGTGGTAGCAGGCACAAAGGTGGCGGTGATGCGCTGTCACGGTGGCTCAAGCTGCTGCGCTGGCACGGTGGCTGAGGCTGCTGCCCGAGCACGATACCTGCGTTGCTGCGCTGGCACCGTGGCTGACGCTGGAAGAAACGATCTTCGAAATAGTTGCATTTATTCGGGACGTTGAACCTCGATCTTACAAGACGAGGAGCAGCAGGGGGCCAACTGGAGCGGGCGCACTTAGCCCCTTGCAGAACACCGTGGGGCTTCAGGGGCCAACGTGGCCCAAGAGACCCGCGGTGCCAATGGCCTAGTTCCCTGGAGCGCTGGGCCCTTGTGGAGGCCACTGGGCTCGCTTCCTGTGAGTGATCCCTAAATGGGCAGCGCGTCGCCCTGAGCCTTCCTACGTATGCTGTCGCCTTATTCCCGTGCGAGCACGGGGCCCTTGTTGAGGCCGCTTGGCCCCTGCTAGCAAGCCCTGTCTTAGTCTGCTGGGCTCAGAGCGCCAGAGCGTCCAGGCGCTCGGGCTCAGAGGCATCGCTGGGGCCTGCTCAGAGCGTCCAGGCGCTCGGGCTCAGAGGCATCGCTGGGGCCTGCGCAGAGCGTCCAGGTCCTCGGGCTCAGAGGCATCGCTGGGGCCTGCGCAGAGCGTCCAGGTCCTCGGGCTCAGAGGCATCGCTGGGGCCTGCGCGGGGCGTTCACGCGCTCGGGTTCAGAGGCATCGCTGGGGCCTGCGCAGAGAGTTCAGGCGCTCGGGCTCCGGAGCGCCCACGTGCTCTGGATCATTCTTCAAAGCGTCCGCGCGCCCTGGAGCACTTTTGAGAGCGCCCACTTGCTCTGGAGCATTTTTCAGAGCGCCCAATTGCTCTGGGGCATTTTTCAGAGCGCCCACTTGCTCTGGAGCACTTTGCGGAACGCCCAAACACGCATGGCCACTCTGAGCTGGTTGTAAAGTGGTCCGTTATGGTTGTAAAGTGGCCCGTTCTGGTTGTAAAATGGTCCGTTCTGGTTGTAAAGTGGGCCGTTCTGGTTGCAAAGTGGACGTTCTCGAAAAAAAAACATACTTTCCAATCCTATGTTGGTTGTAAAGTAACCCATCTGGTTGTAAAGTGGTTGTTCTGGTTGTAAAGAGACCGAATCTCTGGTCTCGGAAGCCCCCGAGGCGGCCCTGAGATGGCCCCGAGGCGATCCAGGAGGGCCTTCAAGAAGGCAGTCAACGTTTCCCTGCCGCGATTTCCAAAAGACATCTCGCGTTTTGTGAATTTTGGAAGCGCCCTTGGAGCACTCCTGGCCCAACGAAGCTCGCCCCGTGGCCGCGGGTGGGGCCCCGGCCCCAGAGGGCCCCGCGAGCGCTTTCGAACGCGGATTCCAGCAGGCCCAATATCAGTCACAAGAGGGCCCCAGCGCGGCCCCAAGCTGGCTCCGCGATCGGTCGCGCGATGGGCCCTGGAAAGGGCACCCGCAGCGCGGGCTCCAGAAGCACCCCAGCCCCAGCGCGGCTCCCTCGGGGCACCCAGATGGCCCCGCGGGCCCCAGCGCAACCCCAAGAGAGCCCCACAACGCGGCCCTGCCCCCACCCCCGCGCAAACCAAAACTTCGACGTCAAAGTTCCGGGTTGGGGCGGCGCCCGCCCCCAAACCAGAACATTGACCCCGACGCTCTGGTTTGTTATTGCAACGTCAGTCTAGCACGTTGGTTGACCACCCACCTCTGCTTGAACTCCCCACAGCACGCGCTCTCCTCCAGGCCGCGCTCGTAGAGGGCCCCGATCCCTGACAGACAAGGCTCATCGTTGACAAGCACGCCCTTGGAGTGCGACTTGAGGTGGTCGGGGTGGCGGAGATCCTGAATCGGCCTGCCCGTTTCCTTTAGGTCCCCTGCCGTCGGAAACGCGCTTCTTGCATCCGTCCACGGCGAGGCCCCTCTTGCGCAAGGTCGCGCGGCAGAAGGCCGTTGCCCCCCGATTCGCAGCGAAGAGCGGTTTGACGGCACCTGTGGGGGGGGCCCTGGACTTCTCAAGCATTGCCACTGCATTCGGGAAAGACTCGTCGAACGGTTTCTCAGAGTTGGCTTTCGCCAGGGCCTCCATCGCCGAACCCTCGTGCCCAAATGAAGCCAGCGCAGTCGTCGCGCACCTCTCGCACGATGGTCCGATGGCTGTGTAGTTTGGCCCGCCCTTCTTCGCGACGACCTCGCATGCGCCCCATGCCCCATCAGGAACAAATTTCTAGCACGCGACTTCCTCGTGCAAACGAGCTGCCCTTGGCCCATCTTTTCCATGTGGATGAAACATAAGAGGCGGAGCCGACTGGTGGGCCTGCCAGGCGCTCTCACCTTGCTCCTGCGACGACGAGGGCGCCGTCGTGGGCAAAGTCTGGCGACCTGCGCCTGCCGAGGAACCTCCAGTCCTGGGCCCCACGGTTGACGGTGGAGGCCGCAATCTCGGTTGCCCCCCCATGGTCGCAGCTTTCGCCCTGCGGTCTGCCATGGCCCTCGGCGAGGCCAACTGGCCGCGAGGGCGCTGAGAGTGTAGCGACGTACTTCTGACAATTCATTTAAAAATAAAGCCCCTTGCTTGGGCCAGGGGCGACCAGGCACGAGCCAACTCGCTCGACCAATGCTGAACGCCAGCGGTTCCTGAGACCCCCTATTCTCAGGGACCGCGCTGTTCAGGAAACTCACTGCTCAAGGAGCTCACTGCTCAGGGACACGCGAGCTTCACTGTTCAGGGTCCTCAATGGTCAGGGAACTCGCTGTTCAGGCCCCTCACTGTTCGGGGTCCGCACTGCGCAAGGCCCTCGCTGCGCAGGTAACTCACTGGCCGAAGAATTCACTCGCCAAGTCCCGACACGTGCCATCATGCGCCTCCTGAATCTTACCTTCTGTGACCGCTACGCGCGGGATGCTGAGGTACTGAATGCGTTGAGCTGCTGTATCCGCTGTTGTCTGCGCTGTCGTTGCCATTTGTGTTGCGATGCTTTGCTGGCTATGCTACAAGCTGCCTGTTATGATCGGACATGGCTGTTAAGGCATCTGGAACAAATCATATTGTAATACACTGGCCCCCTTGGTTGGATGCGAGGCGCCTCGCAAGCTATGCGACGCTTAGGCTACCGCGTGCTATGCTGACGGACGTTGTGTTTCTGTGCTGTGAACCGCTCCGGCCTGACGCGCACTGCAATGCAGTGCTACATCCACAGCTGGCGATGCGCACTTGACCCTTGTGCTATGCTATGCGATGCCACGCTCGGCGCGCTACGCGCTGCTGCGCGGAACCTGGGCCCAATTGCGAAGATGGGGGAGGGGGGTGGGGGCGCGGACCAAGGTGGAATAGCGAGCGGCAGAGCGAAGACCTCACCGTGGACAAACTGACAGGGGCATCGATGGTCTCGCACCGCCAGTGCTGAGCGAATGGCAAAGCGAATGCTCACGCATCCTCCCTCTATCCCCTCCGCCGTCCCCATCCTGCATCCTTCCCTTCTCAGTCCCCCCCGTCCTCCTCGCATCCTTCTCCTCCTCATCCTCCACCTCCTCGCCGTAGTAGCCCCGCATCTATCCAGCCCCTGCTGGTAGCCACCTCGCGGTGGCGGCGCTCTCTTGCACGCGCTTCCTGGAGCTCCAGAATCCTAGGGCCGCACCTGCGGACGAAATCAAGCATGCAGCTGGCCTCGCCCAAGCTGACGAACGTGCGAGCACAGCTGGCCACGAAGCGAAAAGGCGAGCAATCTGCAGGATTGCCCCATGCCCCCCGGGGCCTCAGAGATGCCTTCTTGTTGCCGACCTAGACCAAGCAGCTAGTCGGAGTCGGAATCCGCCGTCGCCCTTGGACTCGTAGGCAGCGGGCGGCGCCGCGACCGCGCTGGGGACAGCAGCACTCCCCGAAGAGGACGACGACGAAGACCAGCCCGAGTCGACCAGCGCGGCCACGCCTCCAATGTCAGGAGCAGCGACAGGGCTGTCAGCCCCGTCATGCGGGATGGCGTCTGGCAGCGCGATGATGTCGGGCGTGCAGTCCACGAGCCTCTGGCAGCGAGTGCTGAAATTCTTCTTCGCCTGGATCACGGGCTGCTCGATGGACGCGCTGCCGGAATGACAAATGCACTTGCGTGCGAACTGCTTCTTGAGCTTCTTCTCGTCGTTGGACTCCCAGACCTTCAGATCCATCATGCGAGGGCTGCTGGTCTGCTAGTAGGTGATCGTCATCGCGTTCGGGAAGGCGAATTTCCCCGACGTTATCAGATTCCTCGATCTCCTTCGAGAGCGACTTGATCAATCTCAGCGCCTTGCCCTGCGACAGGCGCACGTCCTGCGCAAGTTTCTTGCGGGGCCCCATGCGCGCAGAGGCCAGCGGCGCAGCGACGGCTGGTGACCCTGAGCTGGTGCCCGGTGACCCCGCGGCTAGGCTGCCGTCGGTCACCGAGGCCGCTGCATTGGACCTGACGGGGGTCGCCATCGCTGGGGCGTCAGCGGCGTCGACAGGCGCCGCCGCCGCAGAGGCGCTCTGCTCGTCGCCGGGCCGCGGCCCCAGCAAGTCTGCATGACCTGCTGCTGCCATCGCTGCTTGCTTGTTCTGGTCGGAGGAGCGGCCAGGGCCAGGGCCCGGCGGGGCCTGGACTCTCGAAGACACCAGCCTTGCGGCCAAAACTGCTACACAAATGCGGCGTCACTAGCCGTCGAAGCTCGTCGTTATTCATTGTTTGTCTTTCGTCGTCGGCCGTCGTCGTCGTCGCCAATCACCGTTGGACCCGCCATCGATCGTCATCGTTCGTCGCGGCGGGCCGCGGTTCGCAACCACTAGTTCTGCCGGGGGGCCCGAATCCACATGGGCAGGCCCCAAAAGAAGACACATCCCTACGCCCTTTACCGACGCATGAGCGTTTGATTGATGGACGTTTCACGTTGAATGCAGGCGTTTGCACGCAGAACATTGGCTCGGCCACAACGCCCAAACCATTCCAAAATCCGCTGATCCTCCTTTCATGGGACACCTCGGCACGTGAAGCCGTCTGTTTCGGACGCGCTTAGGTCAGAGCGGCCTACATAGCTTGCGCCATTGTGCAGTGCGCCACATAGTTTGCACGTTGCTGCATATTGCCTCACATAGCAAACACCAAGAAGGTGCCACCGCATGTCTAGCCTGCACCACAAAGCACGCCCCACACCGAGCGCATTGCAACATTGCAAGCAGCACCCGCAGTCGTGACCCCCAGCGCTGCGCTCGACGTGGTCGCCACGACGGCAACGACGACAACGACATGCGAACAGTGAGCGTGTTCGAAAATCGTCGTGGTTGCCGTCGTGCTGTCGTCGTTGCCATCGGCGTGAGTATGTCCTGACCATGCATATATTCAACGCTTAGCACGTTCCCGTCACCCATCCAGAGACTTCCCTGAGCGAAGTGTTTGGAACAGAGGGGGTGTAAGAGCACGCAGCGCACATCGTGCAGCGCAACGCAGGAGGCACTGAGAGAGCCCTAAGTGAGCGCCCAAGGTTACCACAGGGGGGGGGGGGGGGGCAGGCAGGCCCAGTGGGGGTCCCAAGAAGGCCCTGAGAGGCGCACAAGATCAGCCCAAGGGCCCAATCAGGGACGGCGTCAGGAGCACCGCGAGGCAACGCTGCAGAGAAATCCAGACGCATCGCGTACCCTCAACCGCCACTCCCCATAGGAGATGTCAAGGCGGGTTGCCTTGACCAAGGGCGGGCGGCAACGCGCGTTGCGACCGCGCGCAGCCGTGCACCCCAAGACGCCCAAGGGCCCAAAAGACCGAAAGCGCAGAAAGCGTGTAGCCCAATATGGAGGCTCAAGGGTGCCCATTCGGATCCCAGGGGCTGAAACAGCGACGATGAATCGCCGAAGAAGTGGCCATCGCTCATTTGCGCAGAACAATGCGCGGTGAAACCAACCGAGCTTGATCGCAACTTGCCCCCAAGGGTTCGGCCGTGGGCCGTGGGCGTCCTCGCGCCCAAGACCGCATGACTGACGAAGGGCGTCCTTGCGCCTGAGCCTTGCGAATCACACGACATCAAACTGGAAACGTGACAGATGGCTCAAGGTTGCAGGGGCATGGGGCCACGCGACGTGGGCGACCATCCCTCCCCCCTCGTCATCTCCCCTGGAATCAAGACAACCCCATACATCCCTTCACCATGTTACTCCTCCTTCCACGTTCGTCCTCCTTCCCCTGCAGCGCAAAGATTGGGGGCCTACTTCTTGCTCCAATGAAATTGCGAGGCAGCTGACTCATCCGCCCCATGCATGTCGCGACGGAGCGCACACATTCCCTCGACGCGATGCCCATGCGTCGCAAACGGGTCGAGGCTGTCCAGTGGCTCGGAATTGCTGGCAGCAGCGGCCGCGGCGGCACTGCTGCTCTCGGGCGATGCCGCTGCCCCTGCAGAGGCAGCAGTCGCACCGAAAAGCTCTGAGATACCCCGTTGCGTCGGGGCCGCAGCTCCGTCGCGCGGGTTTCTCTTCGCTGGCGGGGGCTCGCCATCGACAGGTGGCGGCCTCTTGGCGCTGGCGCGCGCCTGCCCTGCGACTGAGACGCGCTAGAAGGTGGAGGACTGACCTCTGCAGCAGAAGCGGCCCTCGGACTCGGAGGGCCGGGGCCTGACACGTCAATCAACTCGCGCCGAGAAGGTCTCGACACAAATTCGCAAGCCAACCGCTGGGGCGTTTCACCTTCTCGGGCGCTGCGCGGGCACCGCCCGTGGGGGCCGCCTCGGACACGTGCCCGTGGGCTCCGAGGGCCTGAGAAGCCACTTCCGCGAAATCTGCGATGGTGAAGGCAGGGCCCTCCGCCCCGACCTCCCCGCTCCCCGGAACAGCCGCCGAGGCTGACACCTGCGCTCAACTGGCTGATCACGGGCTTTTTTTCTCCATATTCTGGGGTGCTCTGACGCGGAGACCGGGTGGCCTGGGCGGCGCTGCCAGCGCCGCCCTCGCGCTTCTCTGGGAGGGCGCGCCGCTGGATCCCCCTGGGTGGGGGGTGCCCCCCCTCCCCTTCTCCGATCCGTCGTCGGACCCCCCCCCCCACCCCTTCCCTATCCTGGTCCGTCGTCGCTCCCCCACCACCCCCCTCCCCACACCTTTTCATAAAGAAAGGGCACCCTCCCCCGCCCCCCCCCCCCCCCCCCCCCTTCGCCACTTTGGCCGCGTGCCCCCCCTCCTTTCGCAGGCCGACCCTCCCCCTTACTCCGGAAAGCCGACCCCCGCCACCCCTACCCCTAGTCTACCCTAACCCAAGCTCCCAACCCTACCAACCACTAACCCCAGCCCCAAGAGTATTCACTACTCATACTCATGCCTCACTACTGACTACTCTATTGCCTACTCCTTCTCATACCCCCCACTCATACTCCGACTCAATCAACTATCCACTACTCACTAACCCACACCCACTACTCGCTAACTCGCTACTCCCTACGCATGTAACGCCCCTCACAGGGTAGTAAACCACTTGGACCAAGTGTATTGCCGGGGCGTCCTCTGTGAACATGCTGGCTTCGAACCTCATCAATGCTCGTCCTCCTCATCCTTCTCCTCGTCCTCCTCCTCCTCCTTGCCCTTGTCCTCCTCCTCCCTTCCTCCACGTCCCCCCCCTCCTCCGCCCCCCCCCCCTACCTCGGGCGTGATGGGCCATGGGACCTCATGGGGCCTCCTGGTAATCCCGGGGGCCTCCTGGGATAGCAACCTCTGGGGACTTCCTTCGGCCTCTTGAAACCTCCTGGGCTCTCCTAGGGTATCCTCAGCCCTCCAAGGGCGCCCGCAGCGTTCTGAAACTTTTGGGTCGTTCAGGATACGTACGGAGCGTGATGGGACCTCCTGGGGCCTTGTAGGACCTCGCGGGGCATCCTGGGACCTCCTGGAGCGTCCTGGAGCCCCCTTAAGATCCCCGCGGCCTCCGGGGACGTCCTGAAGCCTCCTGGAGCTTCCTGATGCCTCCTGAAACCTCCTGGGACCTCTTGGCGGCTCTGAAGCCACGCGCGGGGCTTCAAAATTGACGACAATTTCAAGGATGGGAGCCTTCCCATTGAGAGAGAGGGCGCGGTGGACGTTGAAAAATGACGACAGCTACACACGTGAAGCCCGAAACGTGCCGGGCACCCCCCCCGCCATTCCGGGCCCTGCATAGCACGGTGCGATTTGCCCCCTCCCCGCTATCCCGCCGGCCCCCGGGAGGGCTAGTTTTCTGGTTTTCGCTGGCAAGAAACACTTCCCCCCCCTCTCGGCGGTGACGGAGGGCAGACGGCGGGGGAAAGCGGGCTGGCAGGGTGGCTGGTTGGGCACGGAGAGCAGGCGAAGGGGATCGGCTGGTTGGTGGGATGACGGGGTGGGCGGCTGGGCTGGTTGGCTGACGGGTTGGCTGGTGGCGGGGTGGCTGGGTGGGCTGGCTGGCTGGTTGGACGGATTGGCAGGTTGAGCTGGCTAGGGCAATTGGTTTCGACTCACTACTCCCTCCTCCCTACCCGCTACTCACTCCTCACTACCCACCACTTAATACTCATTACTCACAAATCACTACTCACTACTCCCCACTCGCTACTCACTGACCACTACTCACTACCCACTACCAACTATCCGCTACTCACTACTCACTACTCATTGCCAAGAAATCACTACTCTCACTCCTCACTACCCACCACTTAATACTCATTACTCACAAATCACTACTCACTACTCCCCACTCGCTACTCACTGACCACTACTCACTACCCACTACCAACTATCCGCTACTCACTACTCACTACTCATTGCCAAGAAATCACTACTCACTACCCACTACTCGCTACTTCCTACTCCTTACACAATACTGACTACACAGTACTCAGTAATCACTACTCGCTACTCCCATACTCGCTACTCAATACTCACTACTCCCTCCCTGCTACTCACTACTCACTACTCACGACTCCCTACTCACTAGTCACTACATACTCTCTAGTCACTAGTCACAAGTCACTAATCACTAGTCACTACTCACTACCCACTACTCACTACTCACTAGTCGCTACTCACTACCCACTATTCGCTACCCACTTCTTGCTACTCACTGCTCACTAGTCCCTACTCCCTACTCCCTACTCGCTACTCACAACTCACTACTCACAACTCGCTACTCCCTACTCGTTACTCACTAATCACTACCCACTACTCACTACTGACTACTCTCTACTGACTACTCACTACTCGCTACGCCCTACTCGCTCCTCACTACTCACTACTCGCTACTCCCTACTCGCTACTCACTACTCACTACCCACTGCCACTACCCACTACACTCTATTCATCACTACTCACTACTCACTACTCACTACCCACTATTTACTACTCACTACTCACAACTCACTACGCACTTCTCGCTACTCTCTACTCACTACTCACTACTCACTACTCACTGCTCACAACTCACTACTCACTACGCACTACGCACTACTCACTACTCACAACTCACTAATCACTACTCGCCACCCACTACCCACTACCCACTACCCACTACTCACTACCCACTACTCATTTTCCCTACTCCCTACTCAGTACTCATTACTCGCTACTCGCTACTCACTACT